CCCAGCTTGGGCCAGGGAACAGGGCTGGGGAGCCTAGTGAGAGGCAGGGAGCCTGTTCTTAGGGGAGGCACTCCATCCCCAGGAAAGATGAGGGGTAGGGACAGGGTCCCAGCACCTCTGGGTTCTTATTCCTGGTTCTGGGGTGAGGGAGTGCCCCCCACGTGCTCTTAGGCTACAGTCATCTCTGCCCTGCTCGCCTTGTCCTGATAGGCCATGGGCTGGGGCCAGCTCTCCAGTCTCCCCCAGCCTCCCAGCCCTCTGCCCCCTCAGATGGGTTTTTACATCCCTGTGGCCAGGTCCAAGCCCCTCTGTGCCTCAGCTGCCACCTCTGTAAAATGATTGATTGGGGAGGGGGAAGACTTTGTGTAACTCTTAGTTCTTTGGTGAGGGGCTGTGGAGGGTGGGGTGGGGTCTGTCCCAGCCTTGCAGTGGGTCTTCGAGAAGTCATAGTTCTGCTACGGGTCTCCCCAGTCTCTGACCCCTGGTAACCCCTTCTGGGGGGTGGGGGCCCTATCCAGTCAAAGGATCCATTTCAGAGGTAAGTACAGGGGCTGCCTGGCCTGAGGGTTGGGGAGAGGAAGCCACCCACCCACCCATCCATCCACCCAAACATCCATCCATCGTCTGTTAGTGTGGGGTAGTTACTGCCGCCTTTGTGAACTTGGGTCACTGTGATTGTGAATAAAGGTGATTTGTACCAGCCTCAGGGCTGTGTTGTGCAGTGTGGAGGGCTGGGGAGGGAGGGCCAATGTGTGTGTGTGTGTGGGGGGGACGGACGGGGTGTGTGCATGCAGTGTGGGGGCCAGAATGCCAGGTGAGCCTTGTAAGTTGAAAGGGAGAAGCCATGCCCTTTGGTAGCCTCAGGTCTCTGGGCTGTTGAGCAGCAGTGTTTGTTGGGGCAGCAGCGGGAGTCCATGAGGCCTGCTCAGCTTTCTCTTGGCTGAGCTGAACCCATACCTGGCCTGCACCCCTTGTGTGGTGGTGGCGCCACCTAGGGGCTAGTGGGAGGATGACAGGTCCTCAGGTCAGCAGAGCGTGCTGAGTTCCTCAGGAACAGGGCCTCCCATCCCTCGCCCCTGCGCCCCAGCGCCCCAGCCGAGCTCCGGTGGGTGGGTGGGTGGGTGCTGAGGCCTACACCAAATCGGTGGCACAGCTGGGCAGGAAAGACAGACCTCTGGCCTGAGACCTTCAGAGAAACTTTATAGATGAGCACGTCTGGCTGTCTGCAGAGGCTGGGGGTGGCAGATGGGATCTAGACACATGAGGACCCTCTGCCCAGCCTCTGCCTGGCCTTGAACAGCCATGGGCTGCTTCCTACATCAGGATGGCCCAGCCCTGTTAGAGTTCAGCAGAAGTTGGGAGGGTTGGAGGCTTCTCATCCCCCACCCCTCTGTCCCCAGAGGATATGGATCCTGTAGTTCATTCTGCACTGGGGATGCTTTTGCCATTCAGCTGGATGGGTTTTCTGGCATTAAGGAGAATGAAGAGGTGATTCTGTTGAGTTAAAAAGGTCAAAAACTTTATTTAATTTTCAGGGAAATACAAGAAGATGCATGTAAACATAAACAAAATACAAAACAAAACAACCCAAATCTTACAGTCTAGAAGCATGCCAAGTCATAGTATTTCTGCAGACCAAAGAGTCCCGTCAAAATGATAAAGGACACCTGGAAAGGTACAGGCCAAGAGGCTGGATCCCTTCCCCAAGGACACTGCGTTTTTGTGATGAGAACAATAATAAAAAAAACAAAAACCCACTATTAAAAATAATAGAAACATGGAGATAGTTTAGCACCACCATTGATCCTGGAAATTTTTTAGTGCTCAAATTGACTGCATTCAATTTAATGTCCTTTCCTTCAGTTTCTCTGCTGAGGGCGGAAGAGGAAACAACGTGACCCCCATAGAGCCCACTAGGATCTGGGAGGGAGGGGGGTTAAGTGGACACCACGAGAAATCCCCCAAAGTTCTGGAGCCGAGGCATCCAGTTCACATGCAACCATGCGGTCCACAAACCCACACTTCAGGGACCTGCCACTCACGTGTGCATCACTCGGTCACCTTCCTGCGAACCTCTCAGTAACTAGCAGCAAAACCCTCTCCCATCCTGTGTCCTGCATTTAAAGAAAACCTGTTGCAGAGAACAAGATGCAGATTCAAGAATGGTGGCTGTTTACCCTTCTTCCTCTGAAATAAACACTTAAGAGCAGTGTGTCTTGGTCATAGGCCACTAAACACGAAAGGGCATATCCATGGATGAGTATGCACTGTACCACCCCCTCCCCCCCACCCCCTGTCTTCTAAGTCACACCAGTGGGCAGGCTCAACCAACTGAATAACCACAGGTATCATCAGAGACATTGGAGAAGAACAAACAAGGTCGCCTCCCTCCCAGATGAGCTTGATGGTATCTGGACCCTGAGGTTCCAATTTGGGGGTGGCGGGTCTCTAACTACATGACCCTTTTGGTCTCTAGTCTTTGAGTTAAACAATTTGAGGGGTTAGCTGTGTATTAGACAAAAAGAGGTGGGCAAAACCAGCTGGGAACCTGGGAGATGGGTGAATATTCTGGATCCAGGGCCTCCAAACTCAAAATACAAGTTGTTGCTGGTGACTTACTCTCTCCACTGAGTAAATCAGTGACCGTTCATTAAGAACTTGCTAGGGACCGAGCTTGTGGCACAGCAAGTAGCGTTTCCTCTGGCCAGCTGCTTCTCCTCCAGCCTTATTTCAACCTGATCTGGCTGGACCCTTGTGTGTTGCATCACTAAATTCCCTCCTTACCTGCTCTCTTCTTCCTGAAACACTTAGAATCAACTTCTTCCTTCTTTTTAATAAAGACAAGACTCCAAACCCTCTCTCAGCCTTCTCACACTTCCCTTTCTGCCTAGACACCCTCTTCTGGAAGCCACCTTCCCAGAGAAGGGACGGTCAGTCCCAGACACCCAAACAAGCCACACATGCACATACTCATCTTGCCGACATGCCTCTTGCTCGTCTCCAACATGCTCGATCCATCCTTTTGCTTTAAAACAATTTTTTCCTCTCTCTCTCACCTCCTGAAGTCCAGCCCCATTAGCCAGGATGAAACTTGGGGGTGCAAAGGAGGGACCTTTAGCGCAGGGATCCACTCTCTAAGGCCACTAAATTCTAGGACTGGGGTGGGTGATTGTCAAGGTCAAGTGCAAACTCAAGATTAGAAAGGCAGGAATTGGTCAGGAAGATGCATGGCAATCTCAACCTTATAGGCAGGTTGGGACCAGGCCTGCCCAGTCTATAAGCACCAATGTGCCCAACTTCTTGTCTGAGAGCCCAGGTGCACAGGACAAAACAGGAGGGAAGCTTAAATCAGTGGGGCTGCTTTTCCTGAAATAAGGCAATAGGTCACTGACCCCCATCCTTCTCTGGTCACGGAGCATGAGAACCACAGAGGCTGCCCCAAACAGGATCATGATTTTGGCAGAAATCTCAGTAAGGTCAAGGGGGAACCCTTCACACTAGTCCCATCAAGTGACAGGGCCCGAGGTCTAGGCAGGTGCCGATGTACATGCACGTGCAGGTCTGCTGAGCTCACCGTGAGCAAGTTCTCGCCCTGACCATCCCCAGAAACAAGAGCTGAGGGCCATCACCCCACGGTGATGACATGCATGGCGACGGGTGGGAGTCGGCCTGCCGCGTAGCACACTCAGCGGCATCTCTTTTCCACAACTTCATTTGGGAGCCTGGGACGATGGCCTAGGCTGCTTCTGCTAGATCTGTTAATGCCAGTGTGAAGTTTCCAACTAAATACTTAATAAAATAATTACAAAAAAATAAAAAAAGACACATTGCACTCTCCAGCCAGAATTACGTGTGTGAATAACACACACTTGCCAGAAGCTGTGAGTCCCGTGGGGCCTGCCCAATGCCAAGGACTGTACAATGGAGACAGCGTGCCCGCTGGTTTTCTCTAACCCCATCCTACTTCGTAACAGTGGGAAGTTACACACACGCACGCGCACAGGCACACTTACGCACGCACACACTTTCTCAACACACAGCCCTCAAAAAAGTGAGGGAATCTTAATTCTTTAGTTATGTGGATGGTTCTCTTTTCCAGAGAGCTCTGCGTCAAGATTTTCAAAGGTTGGACATAGATGTAGATGCTCCAAGGGGAGAGACCCACACAGGGGGGCACAGTCCCACTTGGCACATAGATCCATATTTGTACAGAAATGCACCAAACGGGTCGGAGCAGCAAGCATACAGTACTGGAGGTGGAGGGGACACGCCAGCAAGGCCGTCCCTGGAGCCAGGCTCCAAGGGCTTGAACCCAGAGACTTCCCACCCTGCTGCTTCCTCTGCCCGTGCCAACTTAGGAGGCCGCTTTGGTACCTGTTGTGGGCAGTTCTGTCCGCAGGGACCTGGGTAGGCCCCTCAGCTGCTGCTCCGAGACCCTCTGGGCACTGACCGTTGGGGTGTTGAGCAGAGGCAGGGCTCACTCCTCAGCTGAAGTCACTGAGATGAACGGGTGGCCCAGGTTAGCACCAGGCCCAGCTGCAGGCTTGTGGAAATTGGTGTTTCACTGGGATAGGGCAGGGCTGAAGGCACCCACCTCCCCCAGAAAGGATTCGGTTACATCTAGGGTTCCTGCCCATAAACTGAACTGAGGTTACATAGTTTTAGAAAGACTCAAACATACATACATCAAAAGGATCATGGCCCAAACATCAGGAGACTGGGGTGAGCGAGGGCTGGTGAGTGACTGTTAGGACAGGTCTTTCTGAGCAGCTGGCTGGAAACCACGGAAATGAAAACAAGGAACAGTTCCTGGACGTCCTTGCTCTGCTCTGAGGGCAGGGGCCCCGGGAGGTCAAGAGCCCCATGCTACTTCCCTGAATCCCTTTCTTCTGGGTGGATGACACCCAACAGAAAAAGGGGCTGCCCTCTGGCGGGGACCCCTGACATCCTGCCAGGGGAGGGGGGCAGGCAAGGAGGGGAAAAGATCAATAACCTGGACCACCCCTCCGCTCCACAGCTCCCACGTCTCCCAGCAGCCCCGCCTCCCTCCATCGACAGACTGGGCCACCGGGTCTCCCTCCTGCCACCATCCCAACAAGCCCTGGCATCCCTCTCTTGATAATATTGCACGTTTCCTGTCTCTCAGATTGTTTTCATTTTCGAATGAGAATGCAAAGTATTTGAAGGGACTAGGGGAAGTGAGTAACCTTAAAGAAATAATATATTAGTTAAATACAAAAACAGGAAAAGTAGGGGTTACCTTATCTTTTTTCCCTTAAAAAAAATAAACTACCAAACCAAGGTCTAAACTTAAATAGTTCTACATCTACTCTGCAAATACTAGTAATATGAAAATAATGCTTGGCCGAAATTCCCTTGTCTTTTTTTCCCTTAGATGATAAGAGTAGTAACATGCCTTGCTGAGGAAAGCGATGGATAAATGCCAGTAAAATATGCTGCTCTAACATCTGAAAGTGATTAAAATGATTCTATATAATGCCTTCGTCAAGAGGGAGAAGAGAGGGGGAACGAAGAGAAGCTGTTGGGGCCAGGCTCGGGGTGGATGGGGCCGAGGGCTGGCAAGGCAGGGCCCGGCCACAGGTAGGAGCAGATGGCACACCTGCTGTTCAGGGTCACCCCTTCCTGCTCCCTCTTGCTGCCCCTGTGGTCCCTTGGCCTAGTGGAAACAGCAGTGGCAGGGCCAGGAAGCCCAGCCAGGCCCGCTGTTATAAAAAGTGGGAGAGAGATGAAGACATTTTTTCCCCCTTGTAAGAAAAGAAAAAGTCTTTCAACAAAGAAAAGCACCAATGATGCATCTTCAGGCATTATATAAACCTCAATAATGACCTCAGAAGGGCTCATTATGATTAAAGTTGCAGTATACAGCCACACAATGTCAGTTCACATTTTCAATCGTAACGAATGGAAAACTAGGTTTGGACACTGCTGAGATTTCATTTTTCTTTTTCCTTTTTTTTCAGGCCGATCTGGTTTTCCTCCAGATGGGTCAGAGCCCCAGGCCCTTCCCTCCTCCACCTGCCGCCAGCAGTACCTCCAGCATCACAAAGCAGCTCAGTAGCTCTAGGGAAAGGCCCTCTTGCCCTGGGTAGGGCTAGGGGTCCAGGGGCACAAGGCTTGGCATCGCCTAGCCATGTCTGAGAGGGACTGGCATGCACCCTTTTTTGCTTCAAGTATTAATACTCTCTTTCGGTTTGCAGGGTTTGTGCTGTGCTGTGAATTAAGGGGGTGGTGGTGAGGGGCAAGGGGCAAAGATGGGACATGGCAATCCCTGTTCACTGCCCACATCTCCATGCTGTCACCAGGTGGCAGCATTCCCCACTTTCCCTGGATGCCTGAGCAACTCCCAGCCATCCTCGGGGCTGGATGTCCCAATGTAAACATGATGACCACACAATAAGCTCGAAGGGGGGTGGGTAGGAGTGCCAGGATGGATGCCGTGGGGAGGTCTGCCAGTAAACTTAGCCGTGTGATTTTGGGAGTCATTTCCTGTCCTTGGGCTGCAATAACAGGAGGGGATGGGATGGAGTGACCTTTGAGGTCACTTTTAATGACCATCACTTAGAGCACTGGGGATCAAGGGTAGAGGGCCCTTGAGGGGCAGGGGAATGCGGGCCCTGGCGGTGGTAGAGAGCCCCACAGGGCAGTCGAGGCCGTGAGGAAGGGCAGGGGAAGGCAGGCTCTGGGGAGCACTGTGGTCCAGTCCAACTGAGATGCTCTGTGCTGGGCAGATGCGTCCTGCACTCCTTCCTGGCCTGGCTGTCGCGTTGTGATTGAACTGGCTCAGTGCAGAATTCTGAGGAGTGAGGCCGCTGGGGCCCTCCCCCTGGAAGATAGCTACGTGGAAGGTCCTTTAACCCGACAGTCACTCTACTTTTAAATTTATTTTAAATAATCATAAATTACTTTTTTTCTTTCAATAAATATGTGCTGCTTAAAAATGAGAAAAGTATATACTGCATCTTTAAGTAATGCACTTTGCTCTCTGGGTTTCTTTCCATTCCACCTTATTAAAGTGCATTAATTAAAAAATAATGAACCACTTCTTTATCATTATTGTTCAAATAAGTCCAAATAATATTAATATGAAGACACTAAACCACTACCATTAGTACTGCAATCTAGCAGATTAACTCAACATCCTGCTCTATTTAATACTGTCCAGCAGAAGAAAATAACTAATTTCCATCTTAAACAAACTCAAAAATAAAACAAAAGGAAACAAAATCTCACCACGGCCCTTTAACAGAGAACAGGAGCAGTTTGCTATAGCTGCCAGGCTTCAGTGTACGGGAGGGAGGACGGTCAGGAGGGGGCGCACGGGGCACGGAAGGCACAAGACCTGGGTCCCATGCTCACCTTCAGGCAACATCTCCGTCCTGGGTGGGAAGCAGGTGGAGAGAGAAAACACCAACCCTTGTCCAGGATTCTGGCAGCTGAGTCGGCGGCTGTGCAGCCTGACCTGTCCGAAGTCAAAGGCACGTGTGGAAATCCACTCCCAGCAAAGGGCGAGTCCTCGGGAAGCCGCTGGCTTCTGGAGGGTCCCCTCCGAAATGTCAATGATCGAAAAACCCGAAGTCGAAAGGGACTTGATTCTCTCGCTTCTCTCTTCTCGGGGGCACTGCCCCTCGGAACGACCAGGTCAGCTCCTGGTCTGGGGTCCTCCACCTCCTTGGTCCCTGTGGCATCGCCGGCAGGCTGGTGGTGTTTGCTCCAGTCTGGCCTGGGGGCCCAGTTGGGGGATCCCCTCAGGCTTTCGGTCCTACCCAGGTGGGAGACTGTACACAGAATGGCAGTCACCCAGCAGCCCGAGAGCCGCCTTCGCTCCTGAACAAGACCCTCCTCCCTCCTGGGCTGGGCTCGCACCAGAAGGTGGGTGCCTCGCGGTCTGGGAGCGGGGGGCTTCTCCGCCCCCAGCCCCTCAGGCACTGTCCACACAGTGGAAACCAAACGAAACGACTCCAGCTTGTGGAGGGGAACATGTGAAATACAAACAACAAACAACCTCCCACAAGAGTATGACAGAAAAGCCCACCCACCCCCCTCCTGTCCCCTGTGAGGCTGACCGTCCCGAGGCCCCCAAACAACCCCTAAAATAAGACCAAAACCCAGGGCCCAACCGAGAAGCCCCAAATCAATAAACCTCTCCCGAAACATGCAAAGAAACTGCCCACCCAGAAATATCCAAAATAAAGTCTGTGCAGACAGAGACCCCGGCTCTGCCCATCCTCCGTAAATCGGGCTGGTGGGTCTCCACGGGCGCCCAGCACTCTTCTCAAGGTCAGTGACAGCGAAGGAAGGTGGTCCTTGCTGGCACCTGGGGAACTGCTTTTTCTGCAACTAACAGACACGGACAGTGGCCTGGCCACGGACAGGCTGAGCTCACAGGAGATGCCTCCAAGCCCCAAAGCCAGAGGTGTCTTCTACCACACCACCCGTGCTGGGTGGCGGCAGTCCCTGGGAGACCAGCACAATTCGCCGTTACGGTGAGGATGATACCCGGGCCACCCCTGGCGACAAGCTGCCAGCAACTGGAACCGGGCTAGGCTGGGGCAGGGCATGGAGGCCTCTAGGACCACATCCTTTCCAGATTTGCAGCCAAGGCACGACTGGACCTTCCCACTGGCCTGTCCCAGATGGTGCTGAGCCCATCAGTGAAGTCACCAAGGGGCACACATGGGGCTCAGCTGTCTCACATCTGGTCTCAGGCCTCCTGCTCAAGGTGGCCCCCACCAGACCCTCCCTTCCAGCCAGGGACAGCCTGGAGGGGAGTGTCCTTGAGGTCACACCTTCTGCAGGGTTTAATGTTGTCCTCCCCCCACCCCACCCCCTCC